ATATATATATATATATATATATATATATATATATATATATATATATATATATATATATATATATATATATATATATATATATATATATATATATATATATATATATATATATATATATATATATATATATATATATATATATATATATATATATATATATATATATATATATATATATATATATATATATATATATATATATATATATATATATATATATATATATATATATATATATATAAAATTTATTTATTTATTTAGTTTTTTACATCTATAATCTCATACAGCTTACAGTATGTGCATTTATTTTTATTATTCTTTACATTTTTTTTGTATGCAGAGTACACACACATGTATAATGTTATATGCGAGGTTTTATTTGATCATTCTTTTGACAGCACTAGTTTTTTTTTTTTTTTGTAAATTAAGAATTTCTTGACTAAAAAAGTATTTTTTTAATAAACATGAATGTTTTTTGTCGCTTTTGATTAGTGCAATGCATCTGTGCAGAATATAAGCATGCATTGCACTTAAAGTCTAAATCTAGACTAGGTAAACATTAGCGTCAATTGTCATTTTTAAATTTGTGACCTGTTTTATTCCTCAGAGAGGTGGTGGACACAATGGTTAGACATTTTAAGATGCAGATCTTTGGGGACCGGCAGCCTGGATATGATGGAAAGAGGAACATGTACACGGCACATCCGCTACCCATCGGGAGGGACAGGGTAAAGCATGAACTAATACAGCTTTATTTATTTATTGTTTTCCACAAATGTTGAATAATAAAAGTAATTCTAAAGTAGTTTTCATTAGTTTTTTTCTTTTCCCCCCATTTTAAAGAGATAATTCATCCAAAAATGTCAATTGTCATCTACTAATTTTTCCCCTTGTTACAAACCCGTTTTCAGATTCTGTTGAGCACAAAGATATCTTGAAAGATGCTATTTCTGTTAGCATTTTATGTTTCTTCTATAGATATCAATGACATTTTGTTTTTGGTTGAACTGTCCCTTAAAATATGGCTTGGAGAAAAAGAAATGAATCTATTGCATAATGGGTAATTCTTCAGTGAATCTGGAGATCTGAGAAGGCATTAGAGTTGTTGTTGTTGTTTTTTCACCCGCTGCTGGTGTTAAAGCTGCTTTTACAGTGAGCTCTCTTTCTGTTTGCTGCAGGTGGATCTGGAGGTGACGCTGCCGGGTGAAGGGAAGGATCAGACTTTTAAGGTGTCTCTGCAGTGGGTGTCGGTGGTCAGTCTGCAGATGCTACTGGAAGCTCTGTCTGGTCACCTGAACGAGGTGCCGGAGGATTCAGTTCAGGCTCTGGACGTCATCACTCGTCACCTGCCTTCCATGCGGTAAGATTAAAACACTGCCTGCATGCAGGAGGAGGATTATTAACCTAATTATTCTTCAATGCGGAAGTGTGCTCATTTTTGCGAATTGCCTTAGAACTTGGGAGAAATGACTAGGAATAACTTCTGCTTGCTCTAGAAACAAACGTCTTCCTGACTACCTAAAAAGTAGAATAATGTAATAAGAACATATCAGTTTGCATCATCAAGCAGCAGAGCGAACCGTTTTTAATGTCTAAACTCAACCTTATGGGCCTGCATGCTTTTTTCGGGTCCTGATCTATGTTTTATTAGTCATAATGCAATGGGAATTATGAATGCATCTACCAAAGAGCTGCAAATAAAATTGCAGCTTATTTCTGAGAGAAGTAAAATAACACTGTTCTGTCCTATAAATAGCTTTTTTAAAAAAAAAGCACAATAGCTTTTTCTCAAGTTCTCACGAGCAACACACACTTTAACTGCATGATACAGCATCATTTAGAGAATTAAGGACAATATATGTCTATTTAAATAGGCTCGTGCAGGTTGTCTATACATTTGATCAGTTTTGAACATGACACCATTTGTAACACCACTGTAGTTGCATGAAAACTCTTTTAATAATGTAAAAACACATTTAAGCCTCGAATCCTAAACTGCTGACTGCTCATGCTTGAGTCTGGCCAGTTGTGAAAGAATAATGTATTATTAAATATATATGGCTTCTTAACAAAATTACAAAATACAGTCATTTAAATGCATATTCACTTTCTGTCTTCATCAGCGGTTGCCACAGCAGAGTAGTCCACCAGCTCTCTGATGAATGGATTACTGTATTTGCATTTACACATTTAATTTAACTATTGATTTAATGCATTAGATTAAAATGATGTATTTAATTCATACAATTAAAGTAATGCATTAATTTAAAATAATATAAATTTCTGCTGCTGGGGGCAACCTTATATTCTTACATGGGGGGCCCAAAATTGCACAGTTCCCTTGCCTCTGAGTTGTTCATGTAATTGGTAATTCAGACGTTGTTTGACCTGAGATCTGCATGTGTTTTGATGCAGGTACACTCCAGTAGGCCGGTCCTTCTTCTCTCCACCAGAGGGCTACTATCATCCACTGGGAGGAGGGAGGGAGGTGTGGTTCGGTTTCCATCAGTCTGTCCGTCCTGCCATGTGGAACATGATGCTCAACATAGATGGTGTGCCTTTTATTTTATTTATTTATTTTTATGCAAAGATTAATCTCATCCAAAAAGGAAGTTGGTTTTGACATCATGCATGTGTGCATATTGTGTACATTTATTATGCGTATATATGAATGCATTGTAAATGAATACAACGATGAAGGTTATGCATGTTTATTAAATGCTATATAAACATGCATATGTTGTACTGTATCTTTAAATAAATACAATATTTTTAAAATATTTTATTTTTGTAAATACAATTGTTATAAATGTTATTTGTTTTTATTGTAATTATTATAAAAGCGCTTTGTTTTATTTTCTTTAATGCATGTGTCTTTTAACTTCTGTGATTATGTTTGAAAAGCGCTTTGAGGTGCTATATTTTAAAGGCTCTATATAAAATGAAGTTTATTGTTATTGCACGCACGCATGCATGCATATATTTGAGTGTTTATTTTTAGATACAAATATTTTTATATGTGATGCAGCTTGAATATAAATTTTAAATGTCTGCTTTTATGCATGTGTAGGTCAAAACAAACATTAATTTAGGATGCGAATACATTTAAAAATAATAATAATAATCAATCATGTGGATTCTCTTTCTTGTTTTGTGTTTCTATGTATTTTTGGAAGATGGCTAACTATTATCATCCCTCCTCTCATACAGTGTCAGCAACAGCGTTTTACAGAGCTCAGCCTGTCATCGAATTCATGTGTGAGGTTTTGGACATCCAGAACATCAACGAGCAGACCAAACCCCTCACAGATTCACAACGTGTCAAGTTCACCAAGGAGATCCGAGGTGAGAGATGGAGAGAGGCTTATGGTAATTCATTCTGATTATTTAACATTCTTCCATTCTATTAATATTATTTATTCTAATTATTCAGACATTTGTCCTTAAACTGCTCCTGTGTGTTGCACTAGTTTCTTACACATCTCCTCCAATACCTTCAGTCGTGTTCTGATGTGATTTTTGAATGTTGTAGCTGTGAAATAACTCTAATCATTCAGCGGAGTGATATGGAGCTGTAATGCTCTCGAAACCTGTCGGAACTACTTTAGCTGTGCCTTTATCTGACTGAACAAACCCTTTTAGTATTAGTTGAACTGTAATTTATACATGTGATGGAATTAAAAATCTGAATGTTCTGTATCATTGCTTCTCTCTCCAGTATCACATGATGTTTCAGAAATGTAAATAAAAATTAAAAACATTGTTTTTTTTTTTTGCTCATTAAGTGTTTCCTATTAATGTAGAAATGTTATTTTGGAAACATTACCACAGCTACGTTTGGCTCACTTTTGCTTGCATTGCTAATTTATTGTCATTGTCATTGTGTATTTAGGACTGAAAGTGGAGGTCACACACTGCGGCCAGATGAAGAGGAAGTACCGTGTGTGTAATGTCACGCGCCGCCCAGCCAGTCATCAGACGTTAGTGTCTTAACATTACATTAGCGCAAAAATGACTGTACAAAATGTTCTTAAAGGCACATTTCACACTAGAAAACTGCCATTGTTGACACACTCTCAGCTTGTTCTTTAAGATATTAGTAAGTGTAATTAATTACAATTATTCCAAACAAATTGAGATATTTTGAAGAATGTTGGGAACTCATAGCCATGTTTCCATCGGCTTTATGCATGTTATAAAATATTGCATTAAAAAATAAGATGTGTATACCTTTTTGAAAATATTAAAAACATGCAAACAACTGAGTATAGCATAGAAATTGATATAAAAGAATTACTATTTAACAGGAGGGCTAATCATTTTGACTTTAACTGTATGTAATTTGTGTAATATCTAAATATATTTAATTTATGTTCTCAAATATATCCATGCATGTGTGCATTTATCAATGCATAATAAATATGCACAGTACACACACTTGAATTGTCAAAGCAAACTTTTATTTTGTAAGCGGTTTAATGCTCACAGGACTCATTATTATATTCCACACGTTCCTGCAGGTTTCCTTTGCAGCTTGAGAATGGACAAGCTATGGAGTGCACCGTTGCCCAGTATTTCAAACAAAAGTACAGCCTGCAGCTCAAATACCCCCACCTGCCCTGCCTCCAGGTGGGACAGGAGCAGAAGCACACGTACCTTCCCCTGGAGGTGAGAACCACCGCAGTCATATAAAGTGATTTCCAGGCTTTGGCATATGAGCAACTCCATGCAAATGGCAACCTTGCCATGGAAATGGTGAAACCCTTTCTACATTTGCTTTAGGCTTGTGTTTTACAGTACTTTAAAAATACTCAAATAACTTTGGTTAATCAAATATAATAGTTGACAAAGTTACACAAATGCCAATTTCACATCTGCCACATCCATAATAGAGAGATGTCGCATATATAATTAGGCTTTTTCTTCATAAATACAAAAATAAAATCAATGTTTCCATGTTGAGATCAAAGCCAACTCTTATCCTTTTAATTGGCTTTATTTCTACAAAGGATGGTGTATACTGTAAACTTGCATACTCTTTTTGGTCACATTCATAATGCATGTTTATTTCCCTCATTTAAAATCTAAAACGTGTACAGATTGATATTTTTCTGATCCCATAACTCTCTGGTTAGTAGTTTTGGTTAATAATAACCTGTATACTTTCTCTGTGCATATGTGTTTAGAATTTTTACTGCAGATGTCTCATGCATAATGGTGGAACGTGCTCCTATATGGAAATAATTGACTTGACACTCGACTGTTTTGTGTTTGTCATGCAGGTTTGTAATATAGTGGCAGGACAGCGCTGCATAAAGAAACTAACAGATAATCAGACCTCCACCATGATCAAAGCTACGGCCCGCTCAGCCCCAGACAGACAGGAGGAGATCAGCCGACTGGTGAGAGACGATAATGTGCTCAATTTGACTGCAAGTCTTAATATGCAATGCTTAAACTGCTATATTTTAACTCCAAATACATTCTTATAATAGTAATGTAGTTATTGTTGTGCATAATAATACCTCACAGCAAGAAGGTCGCTGGTTCAAGCCTTGGCTGGGTCAGTTAGCATTTCTGTGTGGAGTTTGCATGTTCTCCCTGTGTTCGCGTGGGTTTTCTCCAGGTGCTCTGGTTTCCCACACTGTCCAAGGACGTGGCACAGGTGAATTGGGTAGGCTAGAGTTTTTATGGGTGTTTCCCAGTATTGGGTTGCAGCTGGAAGGGCTTCCGCTGCATAAAACATATGCTGGGTAAGTTGGCGGTTCATTCCGCTGCGGCGACCCCAGATAAATAAAGGGACTAAGCCAAAAAGAAAATGAATAAATAAATAATGTAGATAACAATATTTATAGATTATTATTATATCATTGTTGCTTTAATAATGTAGTAGGATTTTTTATTTTTATTTTTAATCCAAAAATATCTTAAACGTGTGAATAAACAACCTTTTTACTGGTTCTAGAATCTGATTGGCTTGGTTTTTTTTTAAATTATTTTATTTATTTTTTTTATTTGGTTTATTAATTTCTGTCCTATTTTTTTATTGGGTTTATTTAATTAAATACATTTCTGTTTTTTATTTAATTTTTTATTGGGTTTATTTAATTAAATACATTTCTGTTTTTTATTTTATTATTTTATTGGGTTTAATTAAATAAATTTCTGTTTTTTATTTTATTATTTTATTGGGTTTAATTAAATACATTTCTGTTTTTTATTTTATTGGGTTTAATTAAATACATTTCTGTTTTTTATTTTATTATTTTATTGGGTTTAATTAAATTTCTGTTTTTTATTTTATTATTTCATTTGGTTTATTTAATTAAATACTTTTCTATTTTTTTAATTATAAAAATATTTTTATATATATATTTTTTTATTAGAATTTTTATATTTAATGTTAGTTATTTATAAATGCTTTCATAGCAATTCGCATGTATTGTCTTAATTCACAAATAATTGCATTCTAAATGTTTTGAAAAAAATATGTAACACACACATACACATTATTCACATGTAATACACACACGTGCATGCATCGAAACAAATATTCAAAACAATTTTGTCACACTGATTTAAATTTATACATGATTTGTATTATAAACACCCATATCATATTGATTAACTATTGCCCAGCACTAAATAAAAAAAAAACTTTATTTTATATAACACCTTTTAAAAATGGCATCTAAAAGCGATTTACAAACATAAAAAAAGTACAGAAGTAAAAGATGCATGCAATAATAATAATAATAATAATAATTTTATTTGATGCAGTTAAATTCAAAGTGCTACAAGTTATACAACAACAAATAATAATGCAACCCAAGCCAGAATTACAAGTACATTAAATCCAAATATAACAATTCAAAGTCAAGCATACATGCATAAATACACGAGTTTAGATGCATAAAGGGCAATGCTGTTTGGTATTTTCTCCTGAAATTAGCATTTTCTCTGACTCCTGTGTGTACTCAGTAATTTAACTTTCATAGTGGCGGTACATTTATTTTCATCTTTTAAAGTCAAATAACTCAACATAAATGTACGAGGCTGAGATAAATGACTAATTTCAGGACATTTCAGACGGCATTTAGAGATGTTAGCATGCAAACTCTTCACATGCTATCATTATACATGCTGTTATTATAATATAATGTAGTATGACTGATGAAGCTCCTGTAAACTCTTTCAGGTCAAAAGCAACAGTATGGTTGGCGGGCCCGACCCTTATCTGAAAGAGTTTGGCATTGTGGTGCACAATGACATGACCGAGGTGACAGGGCGGGTCCTCCCAGCGCCCATGCTGCAGTATGGGGGCCGGGTGAGTACAGACACTGGCAGGGACTGTAGCAGGGTGAGTACTGGGGCTCGGGTGCAGGGTGAGTACGGGTGGGCCAGAGCAAACGCATGCCTGTCTGTCTGTCTGTGTGTGTGTGTGTGGACTGAATGTACTAACCAGAGGAATAACGATCAGACTCCACTGATGTGTTTATTTAGAATAATCTATTCTGAAACTACTTTTAAAGGGGACCTATTATGCAAAAATCTCTTTTAAACACCGTTGTGTGGCATCAATGTGTGAATATAGCCAGCCTTTCCATTGTCTATTAGCCATTAGAGTGTTTAAGCTGCTGAAGACTAAGAGGATTAAAGATGTGGAGTTTTAGATGTAGCATAAATGAACAGCAGACAACAGGAGTCTCCATAGACCAGGGGTCACCAATCTCAGTCCTGGAGGGCTGGTGTCCCTGCAGGGTTTAGCTTCAACTTGCTTCAACACACCTGCCTGTATGTTTCAAGTGTACCTAGTAAGAGCTTGATTAGCTTATCCTGGTTTGTTTGATTAGGGTTGGAGGTCAAATCTGCTGGACTCCGGCCCTCCAGCAACAAGTTTTGTGACCCCTGGCATAGACTGACAGAAGCACACACTGTAGCACACATGCAGACTTGAGTGATAACGCTAGTCCTGTTGTCAATCTGCCGCTATGCTGATGCACAGGGGTTTGTAGCTCCGCCCTCTTTTGAAAAGAGCACAATCACGTTTGCATTTAAAGCCACAGTCACCAAAACACCACAATTAGCATCGAAGCCTAAATGGGTCAGTTTCAGAGAGCTAGAAAACGTGTGCTATTTTGAGCTCAAACCAATCGGTCCCCTTTAATATCTCAGAGCAGCTCAAGTCTCATGCAGTCGATGTGATTTAGGGCTGTGCAATTTAGGGGGAGGAATGAATTGCTAATTTTTTTTTGCACTTTATTAATGGGAGCAATTTCGATTTTTATTTGCAATTTAATATTCTCAAAATTAATAATATTCAACAATAATAGTATTCTCAATAATATGCAGCACACACTTTAAATAGAAGGAACACAGCATGTTTTAACTGTTTATATATGTATATGATTGTTTATTAATTTTTTTTAAAAACTTGCTGTATAATCATAGCCTATATACACACACTGTGTAGGCATTCTATATTTTATATGCATCACATTACTGCACCGCCGCACTCTCTATGTATTAATTAATGGTGGGCGGTACATGCTTTTGTTTTGAGCCGTGTTGATTGGGCAGAATAAGTGTGCTCTCATTCAATTGGCTAGCAAGCCTGTCACACAGTCAGACACTTGCTTTTGGATGCATATTTGTGTTATATTTATATATTAATATCGCTTTCATATCACAGCCCTTTGAAAGTTTGCTAATTGCATCGTTTTAAATTGATTCGATTTTGATTGATTGCACAGCCCTAATGTGAATACTGCAATAGCTCTAATATTAATGTTATTTTCTTATTTTTTGCTGTTGCATCACTATACTTAATATAACTGCATGTAAACGAATTGATATGAAATGTGCATCATTTTCTGTCTGAATCGGAATGAGTTTTTCCTTGTTTAAAATTGACCCTACAGTACCAGTGGAGTCTTGTCTTCATTCCTGTGAAATGATGATAAAAATAATAACCTCTTGATTAAATTGCCCTCCCTTTTGCAAACTGTGCCACTGTTGGTTCAGATGGGAAAGCTGTTGCATGTAACTGCAAGAGATCTGCAAACTCGTATCTCTTCTGCTCAATTGTATTTAATTACTGTCTCTAATTTATACTGTGCAATAACATTGGGAGCTTTATTATTATTATTTTTTACAATTAACCCAGAGTCTAAATTCTGAGTCTGTATTATTTAACATTTTGCTTTGCGTGCGTGCGTGCGTGTGTGTGTGTGCTTGTTGTAAGTGCTTTTGAATGATTGTCTTTTCAAATGCTTCAGTCTTCAGGGATTTTGTGTATTTTACAATTTATTATATGTCATTCTGTATAGATTTGTTTGTAATTATATTGTTTTTACAATACATTTCAACTTATCATATTAACCCCTTCCCTGCCAGCATTTTTTTTAGTTGACAGCTACTGCCAGCTTTTTATTTCATGATTTTCATCTAAATTTGACGGCCCTCAGAATATTTTTGGCCATGAATATATGACCATATTATTTATCAAATTAAAGTACCAATCCTCTCCTTTCAAACAAGAAACAACAGCATTATTATCTTCAATAATGTGCTCATGTTTTGAACACACTTAAATGCAGGTAGGTTTTCATGAAAAAGTTAATGTTGAAGTAAGAGTTGTACCTATAATATTTATTCATATCTCTGAACACTGGAGCGTTTCTGTTCTGTATTAACTCTAACATGCATTTCTTCCTTCAGTGAATGATTTATTAATGCATTAATTGACTTTTATGCTTTACAGCTAGTTCTTTAATGCCCTTTTGTAATATTGACCCCTTACTTGATACTCGCTAACATTTACATCACTTTTCTTTTTTATTAAACCCTAATGTTAACCTCATTGGAAAGGTCTAAGACTTCTGAATACATATTCGCTCACTGTTTTATATTATGTTGGAAGATTAATAGATTAAACTTAACTTCTATCACACTACAAGCTGTGGAAGCATTTACGGTTGCATTTTTAAACCTTAATATTATAGACCACGGATCACCAATCTCAGTCTTAAAGGGACCCTGCAGGGTTTAGTTCCAACTTGCTTCAACACACCTACCTAGATGTTTCAAGTATACCCAGTAAGACCTTGAATAGGTTGTTCGGGTGTGTTTGATGAGGGTTGAAGCTAAAATCTGTAGAGGCCCTGCAGGAACAAGTTTGGTGACCCCTGTTATAGACTAAACATAAAGCAATCATGACAAACTATATAATATTCCAAAGCTTAGTTTCTGGTTTCCATTTCTGGTGACTGATTTTCGATAGATATTACTGAGCAAGAGTAGTTATTAATGTGCAACAAGCATACTTGTCAGAGTCGTAAAGCATTACTTTGCTACAGCAATCCACATATTTAATGTTTTAGATGTTTTTCAACTTCCCTTACTACTTTAGAACTTTGTGTGCTTTACAAATATTGTCAAAAGTATGAAAAAATATGATTTATATTCCTCATAAACATATGGGGCACTCTTGCATGGTCACCAATGTAAACTGGATGGTCACCTGGTGGTCATGTCTGGTACTGCGCACAAACAATCATAATGAAAGCTCAGTTTTTGTGGGATCAACTTCAAATTTGGAATATAATTTGTTCAGATATTTAGTTTTGATTTTCGCCACCTTAAAAAAAAAAAAAAAAAAAAACAGTTTTAGCCTAAAATTGACATTTCATGCAATATATTAAAATATTCATTTATTTTGTATACATAAACATTAAGGCACATAACTTTTATTTTAATTAACTTTTAAATTATATTTAACTTCAGCTACAATCTGACATGACGTCTGTCTGTCTTTAAAATGAGACCAAGCTTAAATCACTAAAGCATTGAAGATTGACATTAATTTAGGTTGAACATGTCGTTTTTATATCTGTGTTCAGTTAAGGGGTTATATTATAATCTGTTTCTAATCATTGGGGCTTTTCTGCACTCTCTGCTATTGGCCAGGCCTGCCAGACACAGGTTGGGTTGGTTTAGGGGTAGCACTAGGGCTGCACAATACTGGAAAATCAGATTTTCCGATATTTTATTCATTGCGATATGAATACAACTCAGAGATGGGTTTCAGCCGGAAGGGCATCCGCTGCATAAAAACTTGCTGGATAAGTTGGTGGTTCATTCCGCGGTGGCGACCCCAGATTAATAATAAAGGGACTAAGCCGAATGAAGAGAAATGAAAATGAATGAATACAACTTCACAAGATGGTTTGAGTAGCTCTATTTGGCAGTTTCTAGGGAGTCGAACAATTTAAGTACAAAAATTGGATAACAACAATGCAAAGAAACTTCTCATACATGCTTTGTCTCATTTCTTGTCCAAATATCTAAAGTTTAAATCAAGTTGTTTTGTGTTCACTTTCAGAAGAAATAAGTCTAGATGAATAGTTTTTCCTCAAAACAAGCTTAATTATCTGCCAATGGGATAAAATAATCTTGTTTTCACATTGAAATGTGGATGTTTGGACTAGAAACAAAACAAATTGTGTAGAGATAAATGCACACAATAAATCTGTTACACATCCAAACACTATAGTTCTTCGTGCTCAAATGGCTCTCTTGCAATGCTCAGTCACAGGCATTAAAACACATGCAAATGATAAACCTTCACTCCATTATGACTGAACTGAGCTGTGACTTTACAAATGTTCTGTAGCTCAACTTTAATTCAGACTCAACATTTCACATTTGCAAGTCACATCACAACATGTGCAACGGGTTTATGTGCACGTCTGCGTGTTTCTCCACAGCAGAAGTTATAGTTGGTACAACAAATCATTATTTTACAATCCTATTTGCTGAAATAATACAAGAAAAAGTCCAGGATGGTGTTCTCAAGTCTTTCAGAAAGAGGAAAACAATAGTGTGAGACTGATAACGACAGGCAGAAGAGGGAATAATGTCAGATTTACTGTCCTGCTCCCATACATGCATCATTACATGCACTGTAATTGTTATAATTTCATGCAAAGATGATATAATACACACATAAATACATATAAATGTTTATAGGTTAAAAATAAACTAAATATTAAGAACTTTAAAGAATTTAAGATGCTGATGACCAATAAATGCATCATAACAGTCTCGTGAAAAGGCTTCATCCTCTTCCATATCGATGCTGAAATGATATGTTGTGCAGCCCTAGTTACAGGGGAGGATGTTGAGTAAAGTGTGCATCTGCTGGTCAGGCCGAGGGGTTCACTAAGAGTGTAGGGACTCTCTCCCCAGAATAAGACGGTGGCCACACCCAACCAGGGCGTCTGGGACATGAGGGGGAAGCAGTTTTATGCCGGAATAGAGATCAAGGTTTGGGCCGTGGCCTGCTTCGCCCCTCAGAAACAATGCAGAGAGGACCTGCTCAAGTAAGAATCACTCTTATATTTATTAAAGCTATTTATTATTTATATATTGCTTTCTTTTATAATAATAACAACAACAACAATGATGATGATAATAATAATAATAATAATAATAGTAGTAATAATAATAATAATTTTGTTGTTGTTTTTATTGTTGTTGTTGTTGTTGTTGTTGTTGTTATTATTATTATTATTATTATTATTATTATTATTATTATTATTATTACTATTATTTATTTATTATTATTATTCTTGTTGTGTTGGAATTTTTGTATATTTTTGGTGTATTGTTTATTAGTTGTATTGTGGTTAATATTACAATAATGTATATTATTAGGGGCTATTATGATGATGATGATGATGATTTAAATTATTATAATGATGTATGAACGTTTGTGTATTGTGTACATTAGGTATATTATTATTATTATGGTTAATATTACTGTTATGCATATTAGGATTATTGTGATGATGATGATGATGATGATGATGATGAATTATGATGATTTTTGAATTTTTATATTCTTTAGTGTAGTATTGTTTGTTAGGTGTATTATAGTTGATATTACTGTTGTGTATTAGGATTATTGTTAGGATGATGATATTTAATAAACCGTTTTATTTGTTAGTTAACTACACGAACCAACAAAGTTCTTAATACATTATTCAAATAAATTAAAGTTGTCTCTGCTAATAATTAATTGCACTGTAATCTGTGTGAACAGTGTTTAACTTAAATGAATAATGCTTTTAATGTTTTATTATATATTTATGCTCATAAATGTTATTCATAACTGTTAACATTTAAGTGTTAAGTTATTTTGATTAAAAAAAGTCATTTTCCAGTTTTAAATCTGTTTGTCAATTGAATGTTTATGCATTCTGAAAATATTGGGTCATTTTCCAGTTTAATGTGTTTAATTATAATAAAAAATAATAAATAAATACTTTTATTTAGTTCGTAAATTTAAACTTTTTTTTTCTCCATATATATTTTCTTATTTTGATTACATTTTAACTCTTATTTTTACATTTTCTAGCTGAAATGTGTTAACAGGACTACATTTAATGACACTGTATTAGATGGGTGGTATCATCAAATCATGCAATGCATTATGAATCGTGCGCCCATTTCCTCTGAAACCCAGCAACACAACAAAATCATTAGTTCACATCATTTCTGAGGTGTGGTTATGCTATAAACATGTCGAGATTCACCTGGTTATTGATTCTTGTCTTTTTTTAAAGGAGTTTCACTGACCAGCTGCGCAAGATTTCCAAGGATGCTGGGATGCCGATCCAAGGCCAGCCGTGCTTCTGCAAATACGCCCAGGGTGCAGACAGTGTGGAGCCCATGTTCAAGCATCTCAAGATGTCTTACGTGGGCCTGCAGCTCATCGTGGTCATCCTGCCCGGAAAAACACCTGTCTATGGTAAAGAGAGATCACTGAAAGCACAGCAAACACCCGGGATTTTGACACTAGCTGCTCTTCCATTACAAATCTGCACAAAACTATTCTGAAGTATACCATTGATTACATAAATGTTATACAACTACAACCTGTCCTCTCAGCCGCAATCCAGTACTGGGAAACACTCAAACACAGTTCTTAAATTCCTCTATAACGCATGTGTTTGGACTGGGGGGGGAAACCGGAGCACCCGGAGGAAACTCACGCCAACATGAGGAGAACATGCAAACTCCACACAAACACCAACTGACCCAGCCGAGACTCGAACAAGAGACCTTCTTGCTGTGAGGCCACAGTGCTAACCACTGAGCCTCTGAAAAAGACAATTGAAAAAATATATTTGGTTTCAATATTGTTTTTAAAATGCTATGAGTTCCAGCTCAACAAACTTTCCCTAGAAGAAACAATATTATAGGACATACTGTGAAAATTTCTTTGCTCTCTTAAACAACATTTCAGAAATATTTTAAAAACAAAATATAAAATTAGGGCTGTCAAATGATAAAAAAAATGTACGTTATTAATTACACTTTTTATGCAATTAATTATGATTAATCACAAAACGGTGTATTTATTACAGTAATAAAAACAAAGGCATTTAAGTGCCATTTAAATTTCAAAACAATCAATGGCAATAACAAACAAAAATGATTTCCATGTTGGATTCTAAAGCCTGGTTTATACTGCTGCATCAAGTGACCGGCGTAACCCACGGCGCAAGCAACGCGTGTAGCTGTACATTTATACTTCTGCGCGCTGTCTCTGTTGGTCTGCATTAACACTGCCGTTTTACTTTTCCTGAACACTTCCTGGATGTACAAGTGGCTCAAACTCGCTCATTTTGAGGCAGGAACCAGCGGACCAGCGGGCGCTAATTTTGACAGCCCTAGTTTATATACATTACATCGATTTGCTGAAAAACCGCCTTGTGCAAGTTGTTTTGCAAGTGATTTTTATATGGGTGTTTCCACTAAATCAGGCATATTTTTTTTAATTTGCAGTTTTATTTTGCACAATATAAATGGTAAAGTTAACGCAGCTGCTGTCATACTGAATTATTTGTGTGTGTGTAGCGGAGGTGAAGCGTGTGGGAGACACTCTCCTGGGAATGGCCACTCAGTGTGTTCAGGTGAAGAACGTGGTAAAAACGTCTCCTCAGACGCTCTCCAACCTCTGTCTGAAGATCAACGCCAAACTAGGAGGCATCAACAATGTGCTGGTGCCACATCAGAGGTGCGTTTGGGTGCTTTTTTTTTTTTTTTTTTTTACTGTTGCATACAAAAGAAAACGTTCATGTCATCGTATCTAATTTAATAGGAGTTTTTTTCTCTCTATTGTGGCTTTAGATTGTAACCATCACATGTAAATGCAGAGTGGCCCTCAAACAATGCTTAATGCTTGAAATCTCCATTTTTAGTCCACTTAAATAAAAATAATCCTGTCACCTAGCAACAGGACTGCCAATCATGGGAGGTTTTTAAAGGGGGATCTATTATGCAGAAATCGCTTTTATAAAGGGTTTGAACATCGTTGTGTGTCAGCAGTGTGTGAATATAACAAGCTTCTAATGGAAAATAAATAATAATTTCATTTGTTATAATCAGACTTGATAAAAACCGTCTGCACAAACACTTTGATTGACATTGTGTTTTTGTGCTTTGTGCATTGTGAAGTCTAACATTTTAAGGTTATAACATTATTTTTTTTATGTAAGTGCTGAGCAGTGTGGAGAGTTCTTTTGTTTCCAGTTAAATGAAATCTATCTGTGCTAAAAGGGCTATGAATCTGATCACTGTACGCTGATCATTTTTGCTTACTTTTTATTTTATTTTGGTTTTATATATTTTTATTGATTTTTATTCATTATATTTAACTTTAAAAAAATTATTATTTTTTTCATATAATTTTATTTTTATTTTTTGTTTTATTTTAATTTTATTTTAATTTTATAATTTTTTTTATTTTTTAGTTTTTTTTAGTATTTTAATAAATTAATACATTATAATTTTTATTTTAACTTTATATGAAATTTATTGTTATTTTATTAATTTAGTTTTTATATTTTAATTGAATTGTTTTATATTAATTTATTTTAATAAAATTATTTTTTAATTATTAAATTATATTTATTTAATTTAATATATTTTATTTTAATACATTATCTTTAAAATATATATATATATATTTTATTTAATATGATACAAATTTGTTTTAATTGAATTTTTAAAAATATTTTAATTGAATTTATTTTATATAATTTATTTTTATTAAGTAATGTTTTCATTTAGCTCATTTTAACCCTGTCTTTTTTCCCCCCTGCAGGCCTTCTGTGTTCCAGCAGCCGGTGATCTTCTTGGGTGCGGATGTCACTCACCCTCCAGCGGGCGATGGGAAGAAGCCGTCCATCGCTGCAGTGGTAGGCAGTATGGACGGACACCCGAGCCGATACTGCGCCACCGTACGGGTGCAAACGTCCCGCCAGGATCTGTCCCAGGAGCAGCTCTTCAGCCAGGAGGTCATCCAGGATCTCACCAACATGGTGCGCGAGCTGCTCATTCAGTTCTACAAATCCACCCGATTCAAGCCCACGCGCATTATCTACTACCGCGGAGGAGTTTCTGAGGGCCAGATGAAGCAGGTGAGTTTAGCGCAGGAGATGCATGCAATTAAACCAACACTGCTGATAATGATGATGCATGAATAGTAATTATAATCTGATGCATGCATCTGTTTTATGATGCCCCAAATTATTAGTGTATATAAAATGTTTTAGCATTGCAAAAAATGCATTTAAATTATTTGCAAGCAGGATTTGTAATCTAGTGTCTGCATCTTCTTAGTATGACCCGAATTCAGCATGCCAAAAATGCAATGATAGTATTTGAAAGCAGGATTTATAATATGGAGTATGCATCTGTTTCAGTATGCCAGAAATTCAGCATACCATGCATTTGTTTTATTTTAATCTGATGTATGCATCTCTTTTAGTATGGCCCATATTATTATTATTATTATTATTATTATTATGTAAAATGTTGCAGCATAGCAAGAAGGCATAGGTAGTATTTTAAAGCGGGATTTATAATCTGGTGTATGCATCGGTTCTAGTATGCCCCAAATTAAGCACACCATAAATGCATTGATACTATTATAAAGCAGGATATATTTATTTTATTTCAATCTAGTGTGAGCATCTGTTTTAGTATGCTCCAAGTTATTAGTATATAAAATGTTTCGCCATACTAAAAAATGCATTGACTCTATTTGAAAGCAGAATTTATTTTATTTATAATGTGGTGTGTGCATCTGTTTTTTTGTTATGCCCTTAATTATTAGTTTGTAAAATGTTTCAGCATACCAAAAATGCATTGATAGTATTAGAAATCAGCATCTGTTGTATTTTAATATTTCTGTCTGTTTTAGTATGCCCAAATGATTAGCATGTACCATGTTTCATCATGCTATAAAATGCATTGATACTATTTGAAAGCAGGATTTATTTATTTTATTTTAATCTGGCGTATGCAATTGTTTTAATATGCCATTGGTTATTAGTATATAAAATGTTTCGTTATATTAAAAATGCATTAATAATATTAGAAAGCAAGATTTATGATCTGGTCAATGCATCCACAAATGCAGCACACCAAAAATGCATTGATACTATTTGAAAGCAGGATTTATTTTATTTATAATGTGGTGTGCATCTGTTTTAGTATGCCCCAAATTATTATTGGTATGTAAAATGTTTCAGCATACCAGAAATATTTTAGTTTGGTTGTTTGTGTTTAAGCAAGTGAGACACTGTGATGCTTATCAACATGAGGCGGCACCAATAACGGTTCATACACCATACTAATCAAACAATACAACTGTTCATTGCTGGTACACACAGCTGATCTCAATTATCACAATAATAATCATGAATAATACCAAAGTCACTTTATTCTATAATATTCTATAGTCTATATATAATATTCTGTAGTCTTTGATGATACTTATGAGCATCAGTAATAGAAATAAACAAAAACGCATACGGCATTTGCTTATTTGCTGAGCACAACAGAGGAGAACAACCAAAAAACATCCAGTGTCTTCCATCTTTATATAGATGTTAGCAATTTAAATCATTTTTGTTGTCATTTAAACGCAATTTTAATCATGTAATTATCAACTAGTGTTCAATAAATGTGTTAATTGATTACTAATGTGTGTTTGTCAGGTGGCGTGGCCAGAGCTGATCGCCATCAGGAAAGCCTGCATCAGTCTAGAAGAGGATTACAGGCCGGGAATCACATACATCGTAGTGCAGAAACGCCACCACACTCGACTCTTCTGCTCCGACAAAGCCGAGAGGGTGAGTGTGTGTGTGTGTCCTGGTTTTGGTGGTTTACAAGGACAGAAATTTGTATAATGGCATCGGTATGAACTTAGTATTACAATGCTGAGGTGGTTTATGAGGACGTGAATGTTTGTGTGTCTGAGTTTAAGTGTGTGTGTAAAAGCAAACACATATGTACTTCAAAAGCGCATAAAGTATGTGTGTGTGTTTGAGTGTGTGTACTTAAACATGTGCATGTTTTACCCGTGTATGCATTTGAATGTGTGTGTGTGTGTGTCTTAATTATGTGTGTGAGAAAGTATGTGTGTTAATCTGTTCGTGAAAACTGCTTTGTTTTTGTTTTGTTTTTCTTCTTTTTTGGCTTGTTCTCCAACCCTTAAAGCACCCCATGTTTGGTTAAAAACACAACCAACTGTAGTTTGTTTATCTAGCTGTGTGAGTGGGCGGTAATAGTCAGAATGAGCTGTGCTGCGGACACGGAGCCAAACAATTGCCTGTTAGCTCAATGTTTAAAACACCAACAGATTTGGAGCAGAATGCAGTCAAGGCAACACTCCTGCCATATAAGTCGAGCTCTAACAAAATCATGGCCAGTTCATCACTGCGTTCTCTCTTAAATCTGATATCTAATCTATATTTTGCTTTGGCTCAGGTTGGGAAGAGTGGCAACGTCCCAGCAGGCACTACGGTGGACAGCACCATCACACACCCCTCAGAGTTTGACTTCTACCTGTGCAGCCATGCTGGCATCCAGGTGAGCCTTCATTTATATCATCATTGATCCATTTGATGTTACTGTTCACATTAGGGCTGCACAATATTGCGAAAAATTATTGCAGAAATAGTATATGCAATATCCACATCACTGAGAAGTGCAATAAATTAGATTCATTTTACATGGATTTAATTTCTATACAGTGAAGTCCAAAATTACTCGTACGGCCAGCAAGTTTGTTTTTGACCGGAAATGACATCACCTCCTCCCAAACGATAATAAAAATAATATGTACAAGAGGCATCATTGTGGAAACCGGAGGTCTGTTCTTCGTACCTCGCTTAAATGATCTAAGATGATTTGGCAGATCCTGGATCTGTTAATCTTGATAACTGATCTCTCGCTAATTTAGTTCTTCAAATAAGTTTGTGAATCAGATTGAAATGTCTGGATGAGCTGATCTGAGATCGCTGCGTGTGTTGTGAAGGACAGATCTATCGATCCTCAATCATGATCAGCAATGCAGCGATTGGCTGACGGCACAACAGCGTAATGACATCATCTAATTAATATTCAATTATTATATTATTATGAGCTAAATTACATCAAATTAGCTGTAAACCGTTTGTTATTTATGACATGCAATAACCTTCCACATTTGTTGTGAGCTGCAGGCTTTACACTTTCATGTGTCAACAGTATTCATCATGTATTTCTGTGCAAATCAGTGTATTTAGTTCTACATTTAGAAAAGATTTTCTTTATTAATGTAGCCGTGTTTTTAATCGGTGTAAAGAATAACTGGATGTTTACAAAAGCATTTTGATATTGGTAAAGGAGTCTGCTACTTTTGTGAAGCATCAAATCACCGGCATATTAACTGTCAAAACATGTTTATGACTGCAAAAATGTATTATTTCCTTTAAAAAAAAGTCACATTGTGCATTGCTATTATACACAATATGTACTAAAGCGATCTAAAAAGTTAATATCAAAGTTTTCTCTTTGCACCACCAGGTGGCAGTCTTTGTACTTTCATTTCGAGGGTGCAGATTGCATAATTTTATTAGTGTATAACTATTTATTTTATTAATAATTATAACTTTTATATATATATATATATATATATATATATATATAT